TCCAAGCGAGACCACTCACCAGTTACATACAGGTAGACAATAGTCCAAGCGAGACCACTCAACAGTTACTTACAGGCAGACAGTAGTCCAAGCGAGACCACTCACCAGTTACATACAGTAAGACAGTAGTCCAAGCGAGACCACTCACCAGTTTCATACAGGTAGACAATAGTCCAAGCGAGACCACTCAACAGTCACATACAGGTAGACAGTGGTCCAAGCGTGACCACTCAACAGTTACATACAGGTAGACAATGGTCCAGGCGAGACCACTCAATAGTTACTTACAGGTAGACAGTAGTCCAAGCGAGACCAGTCAACAGTTACGTACAGGTATCTATAGACAGTAGTCCAAGCGAGACCACTCAACAGTTACATACAGGTAAACTGTAGTCCAAACGACCTCACTCACCAGTTCTGTAGTCCAAGCGAGCTTACTGACAAGTTATTTTCGGGAAGACTAGCCCCGAATTAGATGTTTACGAATATGATTTATCGTTGTTATATGTTTTAGGAAAACACATTATGAAACCAAATAAGATATCTCACGAAACTAGGAGATGTTACACCAGGAAACAATACTTATTACATTTGTATGTAGCTTTCTTTATTTCAAGTATCAACTTTAGTAGGCTATTTTCTATCTGTAATATCACTTTATAAGTACAGAATAAAATATTATAAAGTATTCCATAAAGGGTATAGAATATCCACGTCATTAAGCTTATGAACACTTAAAATAACTGAAATACGTATAACATCGTAATGATTCATTTAAATATACAGTTACAGTTGCGTACATCGCCAAGTTCAGCAACCAAAATAATTTACACACTTTTTCACCTAGACGAGATGCTTGTTTTTTTTCATAAATTATATAAATTGAAAAAACCTACATGCAGAAACAAGTTACGTTTCTCTATTGTAACGTGTTAATAAGTTAATTATATAACAAATGTCAAAGTGCTATAGATCAGTTTCCAACATTATCAAAGTCTGAGATTTATCCAAACTTGCTTCAAAGGAAACATCATCACTGTCCAAATGTCCGTTCGGAACACCAGAAGTCGACGCAGTATTGCTATCGTCCACATGGCCTACTACTATGTTTGTAGAGTCGTTCACTGTATCAACCTGATCATTTGTCTGGTCGTCCGTGCATTCTACAGACGAGGAAAACCGAGTATCCACGGAACAAGACGAACTGTTGTCATCCACCTTTAACGATTCAATGATCGTTTCCTCATCACCATCAAACGATTTACTCGTTCCATCGGCCGGGGCTGAGCCACTAGTCTTATCGTTCGTAACGTCGATAAAAACCACCGACTCGTTGTTCTGGGGGTTAGTTCTACACGTCGACTCATTTGTCAGAGCTGTAAGCTGGTCCGATCCTGTTGATTTAACACACTTGCCGGAGTCCTGTTCGCCGTTGGGGCACACCTTGTCCACACACTGATCCCCACCCAGAGAGTGACGCGACCCCACCAGGCCCGTGTCACGGACCATGTGGGAAGTATCCAGTGTGGGTAGATCACGATATTCAGTCTTATTTATGCTTTCTAAAGAACAATACTGCAAACTAGGCCCGTCTTCAAACCTTTTACCATTTACCTTATCTTTTTCGTCACAAACTTGATCACTGAAAAATATTAAGTTGGGACAAGTGTCTTTGAGCGTGTTAAGGATTGGTTCCTGATTGCGTATTAACAAAGCGTCAAGGTGACTTCGGCTTCCTCCTGTATCTGACGTCATACATACCTGGTCAATATTGTGATACTGATGAGATGAAATGGTCAGTAAGCCCGTATCATGATCTGTGACGTCACAGCCATCCCCATCAGTCATATTTACATAGTCATGTGACGGCGGACATCGACGGTCGTTCGAAACACACATATCATACTCTACGTTTGATATGCTTTGTAGTCTACGCATGTCCTCTGCACCCATCACATTTGTGTAACCTCGGTTTTCATCTTTAGATGGAGATTTATCAATTTGCCAAGCGGGCGGGGTCAAAATACTTGTGTCGTTGTAGTACTCGACAACTGCCGATGTTTCTGTGGCGCCCTGTTCTCTCAGAGCGAGGTCCTCAGATGGACATTCCTGGATGTGGTGTGCATTCCTGAAAAATCGTCCGTCCTCCTTGTCACTGTCATCGTCATCGTCCTCGCTGTCGGACACACCGTAACAGACCGGGCGTAGACACATGTAGCACACTGGCTTACATCCGGGCACGCGCAAACAGCCTCGCAACGCCTTCCGGCAAATTTGTCTACACACACTGTCAACAGCAAAAAGAGTACCTCAAAACAAGTTATATTTCAATCTGAGTAAATTAATTTTAACTTGAGCGTAAGGTTGATTTGTACACAAACAAGTAAACTGGCTAGTCGACGCTCCATGATAATACATATAAATATATACTGTACTCGGGTAAACACAAACAATGAACGGGTTTCAAAGAAAACAAAACAAATAATATAAGCAGAGGACACAAGGCTTACGTTAATGTCAATATATGAAAAAAACACAATATGGTATTAAATGAAGACTGAAGAGCCGAACTAACCTCATAGTATAACGTCTTGTCAGACATGCATCACCTGAAAATACAAACAAAATTACACATGAATACTTCAATAATAGCTTTCCATATCAAAATCTTTCAAATGTATATAGAGAATAATACATGCCTTTTTCCATATCACACCCAGTATCAACCCTCGACCAATATCAGCCCTCGGGCCTTCGGCCCTTGGGCTGATATTGCTGTCTCGGGTTGATACTGTGTGTGATATGGAAAAAGGCATGTTTTATTCTGTTTATTACATACTTATTAATAAAAGCTACTTTCTTATGATCTATTTTTCTTTTTTTTTCAAAAGGGGTGTAATACGGGTTTTGCAGGCTGATACGGGTTTTTGGGGGTGATACGGCGAGGGCTGATATGGGTAAGGGCAATTGTGTCGTATCGCATATACAAAAAACCCGTATTTATTAGTAAGTATGTAACAAATACATGTATATCCGAGGAAACAGATTGATCTGGTAATGGCCAAAACACGCTATATACCTCAGTTATTGTCTGGTGGAAGGGCATGAACCTAACTCAGTTATTGCAAGGAGGAAGGGTCATAATCTAACTCGGTTATGGTGACGTGGTAGGGTCAGAACCTCACACGGTTATGGTGTCGTGGTAAGGTCAGAACCTCACTCGGTTATTGTGTCGTGAAAGAGTCAGAACCTCACTCGGTTATGGTGTCGTGGAAGGGTCAGAACCTCACTCGGTAATTGTGTCGTGGTAGGATCAGAATCTAACTAGGTTATTGTGTCGTGATAGGGTCAAAATCTAACTCGGTTATGGTATCGTTGTAGGGTCAGAACTCACTCGGTTATGGTGACGTGGTAGGGTCAGAACCTCACTCGGTTATTGTGTCGTGATAGGGTCAAAACCTCACTCGGTTATGGTGTCGTGGAAGGGTCAGAACCTCACTCGGTTATTGTGTCGTGGTAGGATCAGAATCTAACTAGGTTATTGTGTCGTGATAGGGTCAAAATCTAACTCGGTTATGGTGTCGTTGTAGGGTCAGAATCTAACTCGGTTATGGTGACGTGGTAGGATCAGAATCTAACCAGGTTATGGTATCGTTGTAGGGTCAGAATCTAACTCCGTTATGGTGACGTGGTAGGGTCAGAACCTCACACGGTTATGGTGTCGTGATAGGGTCAGAACCTCACTCGGTTATTGTGTCGTGGTAGGTTAGAACCTCACTCGTTTATTGTGTCGTGGTAGGGTCAGAACCTCACTCGGTTATTGTGTCGTGGTAGGGTCAGAACCTCACTCGGTTATTGTGTCGTGGTAGGATCAGAATCTAACTAGGTTATTGTGTCGTGATAGGGTCAGAATCTAACTTGGTTATGGTGACGTGGTAGGATCAGAATCTAACTAGGTTATTATGTCGTGATAGGGTCAGAATCTAACTTGGTTATGGTGACGTGGTAGGGTCAAAACCTCACTCGTTTATTGTTTCGTGATAGGGTCAGAACCTCACTCGGTTATGGTGTCGTGGTAGGGTCAGAACCTCACTCGGTTATGGTGACGTGGTAGGGTCAGAACCTCACTCGGTTATGGTGTCGTGGTAGAGTCAGAACCTCACTCGGTTATTGTGTCGTGATAGGGTCAGAACCTCACTCGGTTATCGAGTGGTTAAAGGGTTGGAACCTTACTAGGTACTTCGGTTATGGTGTCGTCGAGGGTCAGAATCTCACTCGGTTATTGTGCCGTGATAGGGTCAGAATCTAACTAGGTTATTGTGTCGTGATAGGGGCAGAACCTCACTCGGTTATCGAGTGGTTAAAGGGTTTGAGCCTTACTAGGTACTTCGGTTATGGTGTCGTCGAAGGGCAGAATCTCACTCGGTTATTGTGCCGTGAGAGGGGCAGAATCTAACTAGGTTATTGTGTCGTGGGAGGGGGAGAATATAACTAGGTTATTGTGTCGGTGATGGTGTCGTGGTAGGGTCCGAACCTCACACGGTTATGGTGTCGCGGTAGGGTCAGAACCTCACCCGGTTATGGTGACGTGGTATGGTCAGAACCTCACTCGGGTATGGTGTCGTCGTATGGTCAGAATCTCACTCGGTTATTGTGTGGTGATAGGGTCAGAACCTCACCCGGTTATGGTGACGTGGTATGGTCAGAACCTCACTCGGTTATGTTGACGTGGTAGGGTCAGAAACTCACTCGGTTATGGGGACGTGGTAGAGTGAGAACCTCACTCGGTTATGGTGACGTGGTAGGGTCAGAATCTCACACGGTTATGGTGTCGTGGTAGGGTCAGAACCTCACACGGTTATGTTGACGTGGTAGGGTCAGAATCTAACTAGGTTATTGTGTCGTGATAGGGTCAGAACCTCACTCGGTTATTGTGTCGTGGAAGGGTCAGAACCTCACTCGGTTATTGTGTCGTGGTAGGATCAGAATCTAACTAGGGTATTGTGTCGTGATAGGGTCAAACTCTAACTCGGTTATGGTATCATTGTAGGGTCAGAACTCACTCGGTTATGGTGACGTGGTAGAGTCAGAACCTCACTCGGTTATGGTGTCGTGATAGGGTCAGAATCTAACTCGGTTATTGTGTCGTGATAGGGTCAGAACCTCACTCGGTTATGGTATCGTGGAAGGGTCAGAACCTCACTCGGTTATTGTGTCGTGGTAAGATCAGAATCTAACTAGGTTATTTTGTCGTGATAGGGCCAAAATCTAACTCGGTTATGGTATCGTTGTAGGGTCAGAACTCACTCGGTTATGGTGACGTGGTAGGATCAGAATCTAACCAGGTTATGGTATCGTTGTAGGGTCAGAATCTAACTCGGTTATGGTGACGTGGTAGGGCCAGAACCTCACACGGTTATGGTGTCGTGATAGGGTCAGAACCTCACTCGGTTATGGTGACGTGGTAGGATCAGAATCTAACTAGGTTATTGTGTCGTGATAGGGTCAGAATCTTACTTGGTTATGGTGACGTGGTATGGTCAGAACCTCACTCGTTTATTGTGTCGTGATAGGGTCAGAATCTAACTTGGTTATGGTGACGTGGTAGGGTCAGAATCTCGCTCGGTTATTGTGTCGTGGTAGGGTCAGAAACTCACTCGGTTATTGTGCCGTGATAGGGTCAGAATCTCACTCGGTTATTGTGTCGTGGTAGGGGCAGAATCTAACTTGGTTATGGTGTCGTGATAGGGTCAGAACCTCCCTCGGTTATTGTGTCGTGGTAGGGTCAGAATCTAACTCGGTTATGGTGACGTGGTAGGGCCAGAACCTCACACGGTTATGGTGTCGTGATAGGGTCAGAACCTCAGTCGGTTATTGTGTCGTGGTAGGGTCAGAAACTCACTCGGTTATTGTGCCGTGATAGGGTCAGAATCTCACTCGGTTATTGTGTCGTAGTAGGATCAGAATCTAACCAGGTTATTGTGTCGTGATAGGGTCAAAATCTAACTCGGTTATGGTATCGTTGTAGGGTCAGAACTCACTCGGCTATGGTGACGTGGTAGGATCAGAATCTAACCAGGTTATGGTATCGTTGTAGGGTCAGAATCTATCTCGGTTATGGTGACGTGGTAGGGCCAGAACCTCACACGGTTATGGTGTCGTGATAGGGTCAGAACCTCGTTCTGGAGACGTGGTAGGATCAGAATCTAACTAGGTTATTGTGTCGTGGTAGGGTCAGAATCTAACTTGGTTATGGTGACGTGGTAGGATCAGAATCTAACTAGGTTATTGTGTCGTGGTAGGGTCAGAATCTAACTTGGTTATGGTGACGTGGTAGATCCGAATCTAACTAGGTTATTGTGTCGTGATAGGGACAGAATCTAACTTGGTTAGAATCTAACTAGGTTATTGTGTCGTGGTAGGGGCAGAATCTAACTTGGTTATGGTGTCGTGATAGGGTCAGAACCTCACTCGGTTATGGTGACGTGGTAGGGTCAGAATCTCACTCTTTTATTGTGTCGTGGTAGGGTCAGAATCTAACTCGGTTATGGTGTCGTCGTAGGGGCAGAATCTCACTCGGTTATTGTGTCGTGGTAGGGTCAGAATCTAACTTGGTTATGGTGTCGTGATAGGGTCAGAACCTCACTCGGTTATCGAGTGGTTAAAGGGTTGGAACCTTACTAGGTACTTCGGTTATTGTGTCGTGGTAGGGTCAGAATCTCACTCGGTTATTGTGTCGTGATAGGGTCAGAATCTAACTAGGTTATTGTGTCGTGGTAGGGTCAGAATCTAACTTGGTTATGGTGTCGTGATAGGGTCAGAACCTCACTCGGTTATGGTGACGTGGTAGGGTCAGAATCTCACTAGGTTATGGTGTCGTGGTAGGGTCGAAATCTTATAGGATCATAACCTCACTCGGTTGTTCGTAGTTGTAGGATCAGAACCTTGTTTAGGTTTTTATGTGTTGGTAGGGTTATATCCTAACTAGGTCGTTGTGTCATTGTAGGTGAACACCTAACTAAGCCCTTGTGTGGTGATAGGGTGATAACCTAATTTGGATATTTTGTCGGGGTAGGGATAGAACTTAACTAGGTGTTTTTTGTACTGGTGGGGGTTATTGTCCAAGCCACTAAATACAATTTACTGTAGCACGTGAATAATGGCGTCAATAAAACATTTCTATTTCTGATTAATTTACGGTAAGAATGAATAGTAACTGACACGAGAGACGACGAACCGGAAATAGCTATCTAACTTTCCACTAGGATGGATGTCTATTAACCACGTGGTGTCGCACGTATTGAGATGAGACACGATATTGTTTGGTGAAGTCACTTTGACCAGTCGAACTGACATGCATCTACCAATTACCAAACCCAGACTGTTGGCAATAAAACACCAGTGACCCGGGGACTTAAACAGACTAATCCTCAACACACGTACGACCTTGTTCCCGTTACCATCCTTCATAGACGTCCAGGGTTTGACCCCCAACGTCGTTGAAGTATGCATTTCAGAGAGAAAGTGTTCTTTTTCCTGTTGTTTCAAATGATCTGGGGTTGGTGCTACAGTATTTGTGGTGTAACAATCAAAAGAGATTTCACTTTTA